TAATTATATTTTTATATTAAATAATTCAATTTAAAAATTAATTCATTCTTTCTTCATTTTTTAACCATCTATGTTAGTCTTAATTAAATAAATTTAATTTTTTAAAAAATTTATATGCTAAATATTTAAACAAATTATTTTTTTAAAAAAAACTTATTAATTGAAGTCACTGCAACTTATAGCGACTTTATTTAAATATGTTTTTTTTTAAAAAAATTTAAGCTCTATAGCAACGTTATTATATTTAATTAATATTTAAAAAATAATTCTTTTATTTAGCAATTTAGAAAAAAAGTTATTTTGCTGCTAAGAAAAATTTGACTCATTTTTTTATATTTAAATATATATATATATATTAATAATTATATTTCTTATATTAAATAATTTAATTAAAAAATAAATTTATTTTTTTATTAAATAAATTTAATTTTTTTTTAAAATAATATATGTCAAAATTTAAATAAATAAATTTTTAGAAAATAATAAATAAATTGTGTTGTATAGCTACATATTATAGCGACTTCATTTATTTATTTTTTATAAAAAAAAAATTATACGCTATTTAAAAATAATTAAATAAATAATTTTTTTAAAAAATGTTATATACTAAAATTTTAAATAATTTTTATTAAAAAATAATTAATTGGTGTCGCTATACGCTGTAGTGACTTCATTAATTTATTTTTTTTAAAATTTTCAGCCGAACATGAAGCCGTTGTGTATCATTAGTGGTTGTAGCGACTTTGCGCTAGCTACTGACTGTGACGATTTTTATAATATAAGTTTCATGGCTTCTAAGGAAAAAAAATATACGTGATACTAGTGTCGCTATGACTCATATAACGGCACTGTTGTAAATTATCCCAAAGACATAAATAATTTCAAAACAATTTCATTTATATAATTAATTTTAAAAAATACCCTATAATGATCGATCAACCTTATTAAAAAATACACAGGAACTCTCTACAGCACGCGCAAAGACAAGGGTGTAAAAGAATTCTTGCTTCATGTTGGAATTCCATCTCTTCAATTATGAAGTTTCGTCCCACTTTGGCACAAAGTTTTGGAGAGCACTCATATTTTGTACTTTCCTATCAATGGCAACCAGCTAGCTGCATGAACCTTCATAACGACCCCACTTAGTCAAGTTTTGTTTTGACTTACGTTAGTCCCAATTCCAGCTTATTAGTTATCACATAATGGACAACTAATCAAATGACAGTACATGAGTTGAAGAACTTATAAAAGCATATAAAAGTTTGGATTTTTAGTTCTAAAAGTTCAATGTATGAGCGGTCCTGTAATGTCAAAATACATTGCTTTAATTTATTAAATTAATAGTGTTTTATATTTTAGGTTTAGGGTTTAGTGACACTAAATTCAGTTAGTTTCACACCTAATAAAAAAAGAGTTAATCATTCATACACTGCTAGTGTAAAGTTTTTTACACTGACAACCAATCATATTTTTTAAATTATTTTATTTTATTTTTATTTCATTAAATGAACAACTGATATGGTACTATTAAAATATATAATTGGTTGCTAGTGTAAAAAAACTTTACACTAACATTATATAGGTGATTAACTAAAAAAAAAAAGTGTAAGAGGGAAAGCCTTCTAATAGATAATATTTATTGAAATATATAGCTATATGTGGATCTGGATAGACATTTCAGCACATGCTTGACATGATAAATTATGGGTGTGTTTAAACTGTTGGGGCTTTCCAATTCAAAATCCAACTTATTTAGTTATTTGACATTAAATTTTATCGGTAAGGAAGCTTTACACTGGGGGAGCATAACATAATGGGTCAATTTATTATTAATATTCGTCGACATAGTCACTTACTTGAATTATCGAACTATCGGTCTATTAGAGTTGGGGAGTTTTTAAGTACTAGAGAATACTTTGTACAATAAATAATATTGAGTAAGTGGATCTTCCTCGCTTATATACTACTTAACACATATCTAATTTTAACTAATATGAGACTCACTTTATATTTAAACTCCAACAAATTTTAGTATGTAAGTTTTGAGGTATTTACATTTTTACCTTAATTTTACACTATATTGTCAAGTTAATTTAATAGGATGAGTAAGTTTTTAAATTAATTTTTTATATTGTATAACGTAATTAATTGGATATATTTTAGTTTATAAGATGCGTTACTCCTTACAAATTAAAGAATTGAGTTTACTTTAAGAGGAGAATTTCATACCCTGCAATCATGATTCTTGAAAATTTGAGAATCATGATTTTCGAGAATAACTAAAATATATTTGATTATTCATAAAATTTCTTGGGAATATTCATATATGATTTCTAGAAATTAAATATTTTGATGTTTGGTTACAATAATATATTTATAGATTTATGAATATTTTTTACAAAATATCATTTCTTAAAATAAACTCATTATATATATATAAATTTTATTACAAATATGATACTAAACTATTTTAAAAAATTAAAAGTTTATTAAAATTATTTAAATATAAAATTAAAAAGAAGACAAATGCTATATTATAATTAAGAAGAATAAAAATATATTATTTTATTTCATTCAAATAAAAAAATAAAAAAAATATTAACAAGTAGAAATAAAATAAATTTTAATAATATTATTAAAATTGATGAGATTAAAAAATAATAAAATATAAGAAAGAGAAAGAGAGAGATAGAGATATGGAAGAGAGGGGAGAAGGGACGGGGGTAAAGAAAGGAGAAGTGAAAGTAAGAGAGACAAAGTGCAAGAAAGAGAGGGAGAAAAATAAATAGAAGGAGAGACAGAGAGGGAGAGGGAGAGAGGAAAAATGAGGGGGAGTAAGAGTCAAAGAGAGAGAGAAAAAAAAAAGGAAGGAGAAAGAAAAATGGAAGGAAAGAGATATTTATTTGTTTTAAGTCGGGAAAGCTGAATTTTCACTCTCCATAAAAATGTTTTTGTGAAAAAATGATTAAAAATAATTACCAAATATGAAAAATTAAAATTTCAGTTTTAAGATTCTCAAAAATATAAAAATATTTTGCATACCAAAATCTTCCTAAAACAACTCGAAAATGGATAATATATACAATCTTAATATAAATTTACTCAGAAATTGTTAGTCGTTTTTTCCTTGATGTAAACTTTGGCACTATCGAATTACCACTAAAGATCCATATATATATATAATTTATGATTGAAATGGTATAAAAATTTTAATTATCATCTCATGTCTCCGGTCAATTTCGACTCCACCTTTCTAAGATCAAGTTGACTTGCAATACTCTATTCATATGCATTCTCAGTGCTCCTACAATTCTAGATAAAAACAGATCTCAAATTTGGTTAGGACTCTTATCTCTTTTCTACTCGTCAATTTTCCATCTTATCTTATGTTCTTTCTGAGTTTCAACGTCTTTCAAAGGTTTTCATAATTTCACGGAATTCGAGGTTCATTGTTGCAACTACATGAGTGTGTGTGGATCTTGACCTGGCTCATGCACATTCGACAGTCACTCAATGTGAAATTCCTTACGTGTCAACTTACATGCAATCAACATATTCATATAGTTTTTTTATTAATTTAGTCGACAACATTTATATTGACCAATGTGATTAGGTAGGATTGTTTTTAGAAATTAAAAACATGGTGCATGGATAATTAATAGTTAATAATAAAGTAGAAACCACTATCTTCAACTTTCTGTTCCCTTCCAAATTTTCTTTCCTAATTTTTGGCCAACTCCTTTTTCAATCTTTTGCATTTTTAAGTATATTGTGTGAACACTATTGCCATCCCCCACTATGTTGTTTGACAACTATTCCCCACTATATAAGGTTCTTAATTTTTGAGTCTTGTATCACAAACCAACTTCACTCCTCTCACTACTTACACAACATATATATATTAGTGTGTTTTTTGTCAAGATGTTGTACAAGTCATCTGTGAGGCCTTTAAGGATTGTCATGACTAATTTGCTTACAGTATTGTTGCTAATTGATGTGTTTGCATATGGCTTCAGATACGGAGTAGATGGCTTAAACATGAACTACTACTTGATGAGTTGTCCTTTTGTTGAACCCGTTGTTAAGAACATTGTCAACAGGGCTTTCCAGAATGATCCAACACTTGCAGCTGCTCTAATTAGAATGCACTTTCATGACTGCTTCATTGAGGTTCCTTCTTTCTCCCTCTCTCTCACACACACATTACATAGACACAAGTTCAATCACACATATGGATGTACTAGCACACTTTTTTGCTCGAGTTTTAAAGGGATATGTGACTTTTTCATTTTTAATTGTAGTTGCATATTTTAAGTTCCTAATTGATTGTGACTTATGCTTGTTTAATTTTGTTTTCTTTAGAAAGGGAATAAATTAGTGTACTGAAAAGGTGGAAACCAAAGTAACTTTTGTTGTTAATCTTATAGAATATAAAATTGATGTGTGTAATAAGAGGAACTAATTTAAGATTTGATTGTATTTAACTATTTACAGCTGCTGTTAAGATTAAGCAATATATATATAATTTGAAAAATATAGGTTAAAATTTTGCCATCTATAGTCCTACTCGTAATAGTATTTTGTTATCACAAATTTTAATATATAAGTCATTATTTTAACACTTTAATTTAAGCATAATTTTTAAATAATTCAAATGGTCTACAACACAATTTGTGAAGTAGATATGGTGCAAATATGAGTATGTTTTCAACTATATATTCACTGTAATCTTATTTTCCTAGAATGTGATGTGAGTGGGCATGCAATATATGATACTGAGAAAGTGGATACTCAACTATTTCTTGTCGCCAAAATGTTCACCACAAAGGACAAAGTGGTGTAATTAATTAGTTGCATCCATGTTATATAGTATCTGGTACATGAAAAATAATTGTTTATTTTTGGGTACTAGGGATGTGATGGCTCAGTTCTGATTGACTCCACTAAGGATAACACAGCAGAAAAAGATTCCCCAGGGAATTTGAGCCTAAGAGGCTACGAAGTCATTGATGATATCAAAGAAGAGATTGAAAGGCAATGCCCTGGCGTGGTTTCATGTGCTGATATTCTTGCCATGGCTGCTAGGGATGCAGTTTTCTTTGTAAGACACTATTATTGTTTTCTTTGTATAACTAACGAAATAGTTGGTAATATAAGTTGGTTTGAAATTGATTATGATTATGATTATGAAATGAACAGACTGGAGGGCCAGTGTATGACATACCTAAAGGAAGAAAGGATGGAAGAAGGTCCAAAATTGAGGATACTATCAATTTGCCATTCCCTACTTTCAATGCCTCTGAGCTCATTAGGTCATTTGGTCAACGTGGTTTTTCTGCACAAGAGATGGTTGCCCTCTCCGGTAACCAATCCACTCACCTATAATTTATTTACCTTTGCTATCTTCTTATGTTTAATAACTTCATGCTAAGCATATTTCTACTTTCTATCTAATTAGGTGTATATATGTATTTTAGATATTCCCTTTAACACTCAATTTCTGACACTCTTTATTATATTGATTGAAATTATTAAAAATTACAAATTTTATAAGTTTCGTAACTCATTTATCAAGTCTCTATCTTGATTTAATAGTAAAATTTAGTAAAAAAATTTATGATTTTCAATTAAGAAGAGTACTAAGAAAATAATGTTAAAATAATTAAGTGTCGTTAGTATATCTTTTTTCTTAGTCCAAAATGCATGAAAATGACAAAAACTGAAGAAATAAGTATCAGGTCACCAATCCTTGTCTTGTATATTAATATGTCCCAATAATTTATATAAAAGAGGAAGATATGATAAAATTTTATATGAAAAGATATTCTGATATATAAATATCAAAATATTATATATGTAACATGAGTATCATACTATATGACAATATATGAGAATATCCCAATATATCTAGGCTAATAATCACCTGATAACCCTAATATTTTTCTTATCTATTTTACCTTTATTAACTGTACATATACTTGAATAATGGGACGTAATTATAAGTTGTTGAGGACTTGGATTATATGTATTCAGGGGCTCATACACTAGGAGTGGCAAGGTGTGCTTCTTTCAAGAACCGATTGAGCCAAGTGGATCCAAATTTGGACACAGAATTTGCCAAGACATTGGCTAAAACATGCAATTCTGGCGACAATGCAGAGCAGCCATTCGATTACACGAGGAACGATTTTGACAACGTTTACTTCAACGCCTTGTTGAGGAAAAATGGGGTTCTTGCATCAGACCAAACACTCTACACTAGCCCCAAAACTAGGAACTTTGTGAATGCTTATGCATTCAACCAAGCCATGTTCTTCTTTGATTTTCAACAAGCAATGGTGAAGATGGGTCTGCTTGATGTCAAAGACAATTCCAATGGCGAAGTCCGAGAAAATTGCCGCAAAATAAACTGAATCAATTAGTTAAAACTACATTCTATGCATATTATCTGTATAAATATGTATGCTTAACACTAGCTCTATTTTGTATCCGTTGGGTGCATTTATATTTATAGTTGTAATCCTAAATAATCAGTGTATTTCCTATATTAATTATATGTAGCGTGGAAGTAACTCAATATATTAGCCTTCGAGGTTGATTGATTTTCAAAAGTTTTTATTTTCTTGAAAATACTGCCAAATTAGGTGCATAAACTACGTTCTACAAATAAAAAGAGAAATAATAGTTCATAAATACAACAAAGTCCTAATTAGTTTAAGATTTTTAGATGATAATTAGAAGCAAATACATGAGAGTTAGGCCAAAGCCTCGTACTTGAAAAATATATCCCACCAAAATAAAACCATCACTTTTTCTAAATATCAAAAGCACATTCTATAAATTGAAGAGTCTTTGATTCTTATGATAAAGAAACGAAATATGTAAAATAAGGCATACGTACTGTATAAAATTAAAAAATGTTTGATTTTCATAAGTGCATGCCCTTTTAAGGTTCTCTTTCAAAGTGATTTAGAACATGACACATGACAAAAGCAAGCTGCAGAAACGTCTCTTTCGGAAAATTTCAACAATATTACACTTATCATAAACTCTCATGTCCAACCCAACATTTTCCATTTATTATTTGACAGTTCTTCTTCTGTTATATCTGGGTCTTACACTATGGCGAGACTTTCATCAGCCTTTTGGCATTGGGCTTCAAAATAGCATTTTGGACTTAGAAAGAGTTTTTGCCATTTTTTGATTTGCATGGGAGGATTGTACCTAAATATGCTATTATTTGAACTAGAGGCTTACTTTGCCAAAAAAAAAAAAAAAAAAAGACTCGTCCCTCTACAATTTTTTTTTTTTTTTTTAAAAATGCTTAGAGAATACTGTATACAATATTTTATGAAGAGAACCAGATACAATATTATTTTGCCTAGCTAATTTTTAAAAAAGATGTCGAATTCCATGAGATTTTTTCTTCATGTAAGTTCTGAGATATATTAATAATTACTACGTAACTCCTCTAAACATGTAAGTGTCTCATTTGAAACTAATATCATCTTGATCACATAGTTTCCACTCTGATCAGCATTATTAATATTTTCCCAATTGTCTTTCTCTCTCACCTTTATCTTTGGTAAGAAGTTTAATACACATAATTGTCTTGATGAGAATCTTATTTTAAACTGTGTTTTAATAATCAGCAGGTAAATTGGTCTTAACATTAATCATATCACGGTATGCCGAAAATAAAGGAAAGAAATCAAGATCTGCCGCCAAGAAAACCCACCAGCCAACTTATATAATAATCAACACTTTTCTACTTTCTAGGTTTTTCTTTTCGGAAACTATAGCATATTATTCTTCCATCTACAGTTAAAGATTAACCCTAAGTATAGAGATAAGCCTTTGTTCCTCTTAAATGTATTTTTTTTTCATACAAATTACTAAAATCTAAACCCTGATTAATTAATATATTAAGAAACCTACGTACATATGTTAAATATATTTTGTTTGTAATGAACTTCTAGCTTTATTAATTATCAATTGCTGGGCTTAATTTCCTACACAATAAAGGATCATGGAAACATCACTTAATGGCTATGATTATCATAATTAAAACCAAATGGTATTTAAATTAATCTCCCTCTTTTTAGAATTGGTATCCTAAGCTGCAAGCTTAACGTTAATCTCAGCAGTGACATCTGCATTCCATTATGAGGCTCAAATTACGAAAGTTAATTTCTTTCTGCGCACGCGCCCCACTTCAAACTATTTTTATATATGAATTCCACTCACCAATATCTACCAATTATGTTCATCACGTTTTGAACTACTAGTCAAGGATATGTAACAAAAAATCAAGCATTATAAGACCTTATGCACGCGTAGTTTCATAAACAAAAACAACTTTTTTTATATATCTATTTTTAAAATTTGATTCAGTATAAATGCTTTTTAAGGTATATTCAAAAAAAAAAAAAAATCACTGTGAAAGCACCTGTGCTTGCCACTATTATTTCAACAAGAACAAGGAAGGGTATTGAACGTTAGCAACTAATATAAGGCACGTACCACAAAAAATGTGAAATAAAATAAAATTAGCACATCAAGAATGTATTTTTCTCTACTATCCTCGGGGTCTCTAACATAATAAAAAAGATAAATAGTAATTTGTCAAATGTATTTAACAAATTTAACCTTCTTTTAATCACTCTACACATATATAAATTAGAATCGTTCTTTGTTATGTAAATGTTTTATTCTCTTCATTCTTATATGAATATTTTTATCTCGTTAAAGTACATATGTTTAATATTTTTCATATATATATATCAAAAGAGCGATCTTTTATGTAAAAAATTATTACTGAATATCAAAATGAAATATATATATATATATATATAGTATTAAAAAAGAAATTTTAAGCATTGTTTTATGCATGCAAAAATTTTAGCATGATTTAATAAACAAAAAATTTCTTTTGAGAATAGATTGTAAATCAGCAAAAGAAGTTTTAGAAAAAGATGTTAAAAATTTGGTTTCAAAACAGATTTTTGCTAGATGGCAAAGTTTAATATCTTTTTTTGATTTTGAAATTGAATTTATAAAAGGAAAGAATAATTCAATTCCAGATTTTTTAACCAGAGAATTTTTGCAGGGTTTCACCCATGACCACACCAAAAAATTTAATATAAAATTATTTATATAAAATAAATGATTGTCTTATACATTATACAAACTAAAATGCTAATGAACTATAAATTAATATGTGTTGAATTATGTATTAAAAAAGGTTAAAATTATATTTGGGAATATCAATGCATATGAAAAAAAACGATTGATCTATATCAACTATTAAGGGTGAGACTAGAAATATTAGTATTTATAATTAATTAATTAAGAGTAGCATTATCATCTATACGTATATACTAATATATAAAGAGGATACATACTTTAGTAGCTATTTTTGATATTCACGTTTGTTGGACCATTATATATTTTGGATATTAAGAAAAGGAAAATTAAAAAAATAATAACTACCATTTTCTATTAATAACCATCAATTCTATTATCTCTTATTTTATTTTTTAAAATAAATATTAAGAGGTACAAAGTACCTCTATTTTACCAATTTTTATGTATGAGAATTCCATGGGTTATGAGTGAGTGGTCTTATGTGATTTCAAATCTGTTTTGAAACAATTTTTATCCTCGTTTTCTTCTTTGCCAATAAAGAAATCTATGAAGACTGAAAAACAGCCAACTCCAGTTTTTTCTGTGCCAACGAGCTTGGCTATATGTTACACCAAGATTAAAAAAATATAAAAATAAAACACTTATAAATTTCATCCATTTAAAAATATCTATCATTTAAGATGATTATACACAAATATAAGAAAATTATTCTCGACATTTAAAAAATATAACTGCATTGACTATACTATCTATTATTAAGACACTAATATTTTGTCCTCGTTTTATTTAATGACAATTTAGAAAAATTAAAGAAGGATAAGATTAAAAAACAAAACAATTTTTTTTAAATACCACAAAATTTTGAAACGGATGAAATATTATATAATCTATTTTCAAATGTGTAAGATAAATATATAATTAAAATTAATTATACTATGCATAAAATACCAACATAAATAATGCATTATTTTAATTTATTGACTATTTAGGTATAGTCATAAAATAGTTAGAGAAATAATAAATAGTGAAATACTTTTCTTAAATAATCAATTTATTTCAAAGGAGTTACTGTGACTGTATATGGTTTATCATCTCTCAACGTTCTGCGGTCTGCTAGTTAAATTCGTGAATTCTTATTTGTGTTAAGTAGCGATTCTTATATATTAGTAGTTATTTATGACCAAGAAAAACAGGTACAGTTTATCAGTTTTAAATTATTTATTATATTAGAGTTTATCTCAGTTGAAGCAACTTAATTAGATCCTTTTAAGTATGTAATTCTGAATTAATTCTCAAAAAAAAAATTATACAGTTCTGAATTTAATTTCAAATTTAATTCGTATAAAAGAACTTATTGTTAGAAAAGATTTTCACTTTATCTTTTACTAAGTATTACATCGTTCAATAATTTTATATTAAATGTGAATTTTGTAAATCATTATATTAAAAGTTCTTTATTCTTAATTTATATATACAAAATTTTATATTAATCCAAAATAATTTGATATTTCATTATTATAAAATAAAATTGACATAATATATATATTTTAAAATATGAATATTTTGATTATTATTATTTAATTTTAACAAAATTTGATATAAACATATAAAATGATATAAACTTTTAATCTAATGATTGAATTTACAAAATTCATATTTAATATAAAGTTATTGAGTGGTGTAATATTTAGTAAAAATTACACTTATTATAATTTTCCTATAATATAGTAGATAAAGTTTTTTTTATCCATTATAATCAAACTTAATACTAAAAAAATTACGATAAGTAACGCACTCTTATAAATCAAAGCTATATCCTTGATGGTGTAGAATTTAATTTGTACAAAACAGTGAATTTAATATTCATGATACACTCACATTTAGTATTTGTGTTTAGGAAATAATGTGAGAAATTAAAAAAAAAATACACTTATTTAATTGCAAATTATAGTTATTCTTTCCGTTTCACTGCTATTGATCAAATATCTTCTTCTTCTTCTTTTACACTAAAGATATCTTTTCAGAAACTAATTTCTTTTGGGTCGACGACTACCATTCAACTTCAAGTTTCAACTCTATTTTAATTATTCTATTATTATATATTTGGATAATAATGAGATATGAAGTAATGTTGGCGTGTTGTTTCAACATTAAATTCATATTCAATAATTAGTGTTTCAAATTAGCACTAATATATTAAGTAAAAAAAATAACAGAAAATACTTTTCGCTTCTACTTTTTTGGGGTTGTGATTGTCACATAAATATAGTTATACGTAGATGAATGTAAATGCCTAAGTGCACATCATGACTTCATCGATCAACGTCATGTAATTAGTTTTAAATCGCATCCAAATTTACAACATTATTAGTATCAGATTTATTCTTTCGTGTTATATATAATTTTTCGATAAAATGGGGCTCTGGTCACCACATTACAAGATCTCCTTAAAGCTATGCTGCACCTGAACATTCACGTGAACGACAAATATTTTTTTCTCAAATGATAACATTCAAGAAACATAGATTTTAAACAACTAAATTTGTAGATTAGTACATGTGAACATAACAAACCGTTTTGCAACAAACAGATGGATAAGAGAATCAAGCCTTCTAGAAATGTGTATGGATATAAATTAAAAAAAAAATAATTTTTTTTACCGAAATTAAAAATATTATTTTAATAAAAAAAATCTCAAAAATACTTCTAAATTTATATTCAAACAAATTATAAATCATATAAAATCAATTTAAACAAAGGAAGATCACACATGACCCAAAAATTAATATTTAAATGTTACATCTCTCCGAATGTAAAATAAACGGAAAAAAATAGGAATTAGTATGTAGCAAAACACGGGGAAAAAAAAATCTAAAACAAATGGCAATAACATGACAGAAAAGATAATGCATCATGCTATAAGCTAGCTAAGTGGAGGGATTTTTCTTGGCAAAAGTGTTCTTGTTATTATGCATCCACACTTTGAAGACTCTTCTCTTGATTCCAACATCATGGCAAAACTTCTGCACCACAGATTCATCTAGCTTCTGTATTCTCCACCCTGCTCTTTCTGCAAAATCCAGCATCTTCTCCTTCTGTTCTTGTGTGAACTTGGTTCTGAACCTCTTCTTCACCTTTTCATTTGGATTCTCCACCTCCTTAACTATCCCATCTTCGTAGTCCTTCTCATCACTCTGATCAGAAGGACTAATTGAGCCACTCTTGTTGGGAGATAAATAAGTCAACATTGGCCTTATCTGAGTAGTGTCCGGAATAATCATGAGAGGAGTGGAATTAGAATCAGATGATGACTCTATCTCTTTTCTGTGGAAGTTTCTGTGGCAATTGCAAGCTGAGCATTTGAGAGCTTCAAGGGTTCCTTCTTCTCCAGCAGCCATGAACTCACCACAACCATCAGTTGCATTGCCACCAATTGCAGCTGCATGGTTCTTAAGACACTCTTTGTATCTTATTATCTTTTTATCTACCCTTTTGTCACATTGAAAACTGCTAGAATCCATATTACAAATGGAAGACTATAAACTTAAAAGAATGAACAAAGGAAATTTTTCTATGATGAGGAAGACTAACAGGATAGAGAGTGGGGAGGAGAGATTATAAGGAAATTTAGGTGATGGAAAAAAGTATAGTAGTAGGTCTTGATTGTGAATTTTGCAAGTGAAGCAACAAACGGTATTGCATATTATATAGTATATATAACATAGAGGGGTGTGAGAGAAGGGGAATGGAAATAGAAATATAGGGATAGTTTAGGGAATTTGAAATACTATTTTATTGATCACTTTAGTTAGAAAGTGTAGCTAGCTCAGAAGTTTATGGTTCAAATTTGTGTCTATGTGTTTATTAGTGAACGAGAGAGACCTTAATTACAATCAAATAAAGAAAGCATATATGTCATTAGACTAGAGAGTGTGTAGAGACAATTAAAAAGTTGAGTGCATGCCATTGCTTTGCTTTGCTTTGCATACACTGTTAGACATCAAGCTTACGTTATTAAAAAGAGGTTTCCTTTAGAAAATATTTAGATTAAATTAATAAAAGGATTACCAAACAAAAATAACAAAATAACAAAAATTAAACGGGAAAGCCGAAAGAGATTAATATTGGGGAGAACTGTCCACTTAGAAGAAAAGACTGTCCATTGCTTTGCAAGTTGCAAATTGCAATAAGTGCAGTGTTACTTTAAAGAGGGTTGGACTGTCCTAGATTCACACTTTGTCCCCACTCCCCATTTGTATACCAACGTACTATATATGAAGTACAAGTTACTATAAAAGGTGGAGATCATTTTCAATTGCAAAGTCTAGGAAAGCTTCATAGAAAAGTCTTCTTTTGTCAATGCCAAGTTTTTCTACAATACTTTTTAATTTCCACTTTTAAAGATTGGTCCTAATTAATTTGTAAAAGAAACAACTTGTAAAAAATTCCATAAAAGAAAAATAATATTAAAAAATTCAAAAATAATATTATTCCTTGTTTTAATCACACAAAACATACATGGAGATTTTATTTTTACAGTATACTAGTCGGTAAAAACAACAATTTAGTTCCACCCAAATTTTATATGAATCATCATTTTACTAGTTTGACTTAGTCCATTTGTTTGTTAAATTAGACCAAATTAGACCACTAAATTTTGCTAATTTTATATATAATTTTTTTAAAAAAAAATGGGTCAAAAAGATTCAATACTATTCGAACTTAAACTTAAATTTTTATTGTCTTACAAATTGGTTAATTAGGTCTTTTTTCAGGATTGAAAACAAGAGCTTAACCCACTCTAGCTAGTAAGCCAATGAGCTGAATCAATTTTAACACCTCTGCTCGCGACAAATTTCAAATGATAAGGGAGAAACAATAGAAATTGTTAAAACACATGTTATGGCAAATGGTTGTTTTGTTAATGTACCAAAAGAAAATTTGTTGTTTTCCTTGATCTGAAATGAGTAATATATGTATATTAATTGTGATTTACCTTAGAAAACTAAATTAAGATGTTGATGTTCTCATTTTCTGCTACTAAATGATTATAAACGTACGTACGTATTAACACTGTAAAACGACACATATTAAGAAAAGAAAATCAAGAAAAAGACTTGGAGGAAAGAAAGCGTGAGGTAATTAATTAGTTCTCACTATTAAGTATATATTCACTCCTAAGTCCTAACACTTGGCTAGTGCACTGAATTCATTAGCATAAAAGTGCATCTTTCAAGTCTAGTTTAATAAGTCATGCATATTACTGTCAATAAATGTGTGGCTTTTGTATAACAATATGACCAACAAGAAGTTGCTCCAAGTCATGTACCATATTATTGCTACCCCAATGATTAAGCCCTAAGCACAAGTGACAATTATAGGTTGCTGATAATAAGTCCTCTCTATACAGCCGCTAGATCCAACATCTCTGATAATCATAGCCTATGTTTATGATAAATCCATAGTATCTTGTTTATGAGCAATTGCATAGCTATATATATAATTTGAGTTTAATTAAATCATATCACGTTTTGACCTCCAGAAAATTAAAGTATAAAGAAGAATGAGAGGGAAAACACAGGGGCAAGTGTGAAAGGAGGATTTGGAAACTATGTTAGCAACTCTACCCGAAGATCAGGATCTCTTGCATGATATGTTATATAGTAGGATGAAGGTATGACGAAGCAATGAATTCTGAATTTAACTTTGATGTATGTTTTAGTATAAAAATTTACATTTGTATTTAACAATGTATTATTATATGATTTAATTAAACGATGATCAAATAAAATATGAAAGACTTTTTAGTTACAAATCAAAATTAAACTCGCCCTGGCATATTGGAGGTTCTTGAAGAGGTATTTTATTTTGAAGTAATGTCAAGGTAACAAGTGCTTTGGTTACGTGGAGTTCTCCGAGTCAGTCCAAGTGGTAGCAGGCTTTTGAATTGTCAAGGGCCCTGAGTGGTCCAACATATTACATGAATAATTAGGAACGCCACTCAACATTAACTAAGTTTTTATTTGATTATTATCAATGATTCAATGTGACACTGACCCTATTATAGGGTTCATAATATGTGCATATGCCTTCCCACTAATTGAACGGAGAAGTCAATGTAGATTATTAATAGCAAACTACTGTATAATCTTATGTTTATGCTGTATTAATTGATACTTGTTATCTAATAAAACATGAGAAAATAGGTGATACATTAAAGGTTTACAATGTTATTTAATCACAAATTATCAATTAGTTGTTGACTTTTACAATGAATAAGTAAAAAATTATTCTAATAATGATATTTAATTGGTTAACAACATAAAACTAAGTGTATTACCATTAATTTCATAAAATAAATCCCTTATAAGAAATAAATTAGTGTCGACCAAAAATCAACATTAATCATAAAAAGGGCAATGTTAATTAAAAATTTTAAAAGTTTATTGTTGGCCGAACAACAAAAGTTTTCACTATTATTTTTGGGTTGGCCATAAAATATTGTTACATATTAGTATTGGTTAGGCTAAGATGATCCTAATTTTTTTTCCCGGCCTTTCCTCCCTTTGGCCACACTTTCTTTATACTAGCAAATTAACCAAACATATAAACGCCACCAAAATCAACATTTATGTACCCACCACAAAATATCAAGCTAGACACCTAGAAACGTACACTTTGTATTATACACTTAATGTTTGTCAAATTCCACTTTGTATCGTATGCTTGTTGCTCATGTATAATGTAGTAACCCAATTTCGTCCGGGAAATGTCAATTTTTGTTTTAAAAAAAATAGAAAAAAGGTATATTCAAAAAAGAATAAAAAAGACAAAAATACGTAAGTCAAATGTAACACCTCATTGTTTATACTTTTATGGAGGGTAATTTACTATTTTTTATAAAATTTCTAGCCCAGAACGGGCCGTTCCCAATCTGGAACGGGCCGTTCTAACTTTCCAAAAAGCCTTAAAATTTATATCCCAGAACGGGCCGTTCCAAAAGCTGGAACGGGCCGTTCCAACCTTTCAAAAAAGCCCTAAAATTTCTAGCCCGGAACGGGCCGTTCTGAATTCAGAACGGGCTGTTCCAACCTTCCAAAAACACCTATAAATTCTAGCCCGG